TTTGAAAACTGTTCATTAACAAATTTTGTTCCACCATCGGTTCTTATTCTTTTTACGGTGTAAGGGAATTGTACTGACAACTTCTTCAACAATTCCTTAATTTTGCCCGGTACTTCCTTTAGATTTTTTAGCAGGAAATACCAATTCTATGCTGTAGCATCGTCAACTACCGCAAGAGCGTATCTAAAACCAAAGGTACCGTACGGACCATTTACTTTTAGCTTTCCTATGGTGTCTATATGCAATGTATGCAATGGATCTGTAGACTTTTCTACTACCATATTCCGAAAGGACATTCGGCAATCCTTCATTTCTGTGCACGTTTTACAGAAAATGTTAGGCTTTTAAGGTGTGCGAAGGTCGCACTATCGGCTTGGTTTGTTTATGACTCCACATCATCCTCACTAACCTGTCATAGCCTATATGACCCAGTCTTAAATGCCATTCCTTAGTTAGGCACTCATTAGTTTTGGTCTTTACCGTGAGGACCCTTTTCTTTGTTACTTTAGTAGTAAACTTCGCCTATTGCTACAGCGGCAAATTGTAATCTCATACTTTTGTCTAAGAGGAATAGTATCTTCCCGTTTTCGATTGTAGGTGCCTGTAGCCCTACTTTGCCAAATAATACGCGCCAAGCAAATTACTATCACACTGGTTGTCATGTGCTACTTCATTCAGTGTCATAATCTCTCTTTTTCCAGTAGAAGTAATAATACTAATCTGGACCGAACCCATTAGAGTACTCTGAGAAGTAGTACCATTGACGTACGTAAACCGATGACCCTGGCTTTGTCGCAGCCTCGTGAACCACCCTTTACTAGGGGTCACAGCATGACCAGCCCCACCCATATGTCATCAGTTGGCCTGAGTTGTTTCTAACTTCCTTAGATATACGTCATTCTTTTGCCTTACCTCTCGCTCAATCATGTCCAAATCCATTGGCGATTCGCTTCCTTGCTCAATCATAGGGGCGTCATCATCATCGTGGCACGCAAGATATTCACTTTCAACATCATCCTCTTTGTCCATGCTCTCCTCTAGCTGCGTCTGTCCGTCATCATTTAGTCGCTTCTCGCATCGGATACCACAGCTTTGAGGGTATTAATTACGGCACCTTTTCGCTTCCGATCCCTTGTAGCACCCGGAGCAGTCTTAATGTCAGTCCTATATAATGGACTGCCCTCTCTCTGTTTGTCCTGGTCAATGGCTCTCGTCGCACAGTCAGCCTTAAATTGCCCTATTTCGAAATAGTAACGGCACTCGTCCTCCGGGTTTGTGTTACGCTTCATTTTTTGTCCTTGTTGAGCACGGACGTTGTTGATTGGGATGGTCAAGCTTTGGTCCACGCGCATGGTGATTTCCTTTTTGACTTTTCACCAAAAGTGCGACGGAGCGCACTCTCTACCTTTTCCATAGTAAAATCGCCTTGCTTAATAGAGATCGACGAGGCCCAAAACTCACTGGGTAGTTGGGAAAGGACTTCAACGCAGAGCCGTGGCTCGGTTGCCATGTCCTGTCCCAGCAGCTTTTGAGTTTTCCGGTTGATCTCGTTTCTAGCCTTTTTCAACTGACCAAATAGCGTCCTACGATCACGTCACTGGCTTCGAGCCAACGTTGATCAAGCTCGGGTCAGTTCAATCAGTCCAGCCGCATTCCAAAATATTTCTCAAGAGCCCTTAGAACATCACGGAGCTCCACGTGAGACACTAGGTCGGGTAGCGTGGACAAAAAGAGATTTGGTAGGACCAGGTTCAGAAGGTTCTGTAGTTCGCCTCTACCCCTTCCCAATCCTCCACCTTCCATCGCATTGCAATCAACTTCTTCTCAGACATATTGTTCTGGTCTGTGACAGGTGGTGTAATGGGCTCGCTGTGTGCCCACTACTTCGGCTTACACGTTAGCGCACGTGTATGAGGAAGCGTAGTTTGCTTAAACTTAGATTAACTATACTTACGTCTCGTAAGTATATATTTACTTAAATA